TTAGATCCATGTGACACTGTAACATTGTGAAATTTAAACGCATTTGGTGCATTATTCAAACATTCACAAGTTTTTGCGTACGAACGCCATTTAAATCACCTTATAACCACTCTATTCCTGGTAATAATACATGTAACCCTACTTATGATTTAATTTACTTATTTTATAATTATCACATTGATACGCATTCGAGGCTTAGGAAATTATATAATATACACAAATTAACTTCCAAGCCTAAATGAATTATTTTGAGAAAAATTTCATATAACACAACCTTGTTTTACACAAAAAAAAAAAAGATAAATATAACCCGAATATGACAAAAATTTTTGGGGGCAAGCACAGATAGATCTGAGTGCGCAATGCAGTACTTCTCAAGATAGTACTGATATGATAATATAAAATTTTTGGACGAAAATCTAATTTATTTTAGTCAAAAAGGAAATGTGGTGGGTCACGGGCAAGAAAAAAGGCCAATTCAATTATATACACGTGTACAAATACATATACAAATGGAAATGATCATAGTTATATCGACAAAAAATATTATAAAAGGGTTAAAAAAAAAACTATTATTATAGCAAAAATACCATTCCTGATGGATCGTCGGTACTGTTGAGAAAGTCGGGACTGGTTCTAGATAGAACTCGACTTTCGGGATGGTTACACGAGGATCTAAGGCTATACCCTAACTAAACTCTGCTATACAATACACCAAAAGTCCTAGTTGGGCAGGCTTCGATTGAGGCATGGAAAGACTTGGTCCGAGTTTTAGGCCCTTTGGGTATTGCTGCGGCTTATCTCTAGTACTGGGTCTTTAGAGATAAGTATTAGGCTCTTTAATCCTAATCTTTGTTAATACCTTACTATAGTTTTTACTATAGCACCATATCCAATTTCCAATTTTCCAGGTGTGGGTCACGGGATCTAAGTCACGGGGACATGAATTTCGGCGATTTCGGGGTAAGTGACCTTATTACTTAGATTTAATGACATTGATCACAAACTTAATCACTTTAATGGGTTATATATAAGGGTCCTAAATTGGAATTTAACTATTTTTATGCTTTTTCTTCAAACTAAAGGTTACGATTTTATGATCACGGGGACAAGACAATACGAATTCGGTTTATCTTTAGCGTATTTTATTACAAGAGGAAACTACTTTGAGCATGATACTTTGCGCTGCTTAGATTTTCAAGCTTTTGAACTCAACCCGAGTTGTTTTTATTTGAGGTAAAATCGATCGTTTTTATATATTATTTTTACATAGTCGTATAAAGGGTATATCTAATTTAAATATACTTTTGCTCTTATTTTACCCTTCCCACCTATTTTACCTTTCGTATGGATCGACTCTTTTTTACTTTATTTAATCGATTTGGTTGATCCACCTATTTTGAGAAATAGCATAAATAACAAAAATAAAAAAAATAGACAAATAGAAGAAAAAGAAATTTTGTGCTACGTCGGATGCGTAGCACCACCGGAGTAAGCGGTTTTGACTTTTACAATTTTACCTCACCAAAGAAAGCATGTTCCACAGACTCATCTTGACATAAGGCTGGAATTCCTCTTTTTTAAGATTAGTGATCACAGAGAGTTTTGTATGTGTGGTGCGATAGAGTTGTTCAACCCTGAAGGGTTCGAACAAATAGTAAAGGTGAGTGGTGGCTCTTACGAAGTGACTAGTATACTTCTCTTGGATTGTAGATTTTTCAGTTGGGGTCATTAGATGGAGTTAAGCACCAAAATAATAGGTGTGGACAAAACTTTCGACTCTTTTTCTCTTCTCCTTTGCCCTTTTCATGGCATTGTAAGCTAAGAATAATTGGGTTGGTAAGTCTTGGGTTACATTATAGGGACAGGGTTCGGGGAACACAATTGCAGGTTCTATGGCAGCTAAGTCTTCACGTATTAGGGCTTCATAATTGCTCATTACGTTTTACAAAAAAGTGCATTCTCTAGAATTCATTCTCATTCCTATTTATATTTCTTTCGTGATAGTGCTTGAGGAGCTTTTTGTTCATAGGATTCGTTAGTACACTTCCTTCGAGATCACATAATTTATAGGCACCGTTACCAAGAGTATTATGGATATAGTATAGTCTTTTCCACCAAGATATTAGTTTGTGGCTGTGGGTTCTCATTCTCTTTGCATCATGAGTGAATACCTTGTCACCAATACTGAAGTTGGGGTGGCTTTTAAATAACAGTCATAATTTTCCTTTTGTTTTTGTTGCTGGGTTTTAATTTTCCTAAGGGCTTGGTCTCGGGCTTGTGGTAGATCATTTTCTAATTTGTATATCTGTTGGATGATCGTCCTATTAAGTAAATTTTCAGTTTTACTAGGGTGAATGGGTAACCTGGCATGCCTCCCATACAACAGGTAAAAAGGTGTTTGTTGGGTGGTACTATGCCTTGCGGTCCTGTATGCAAACAATACTGGTAATATTAGTAGGTCCCAATCGGTTACGTTCTTAATCAGTTTTGCGATTGACAAACACAAGGATTTGTTGAATCGCTCCACGAGCCCATTGGTCTGTGGATGATAAGGACTGGAATAATGGTGCTTTATTTGTAATGAGGTGAGTAAATTATCGATAAGGCAATTCCTAAAATAAGACTCTCTATCAGATAAAAGGTGCATAGGTCATCCATGGCAATATACGATTTCTTTATAGATGAACTTCGTCACTTCTTCTGCATTATCTTTTGGTATTGCATGAGCTTCTGGCTACTTTGTCATATAGTCGATGGCTACTACAATATAACGATTTGACTGGGGGATTATTTGTAATGGTCCGATTATATTTATTCCCACTCTATGAAACAGTGCTACCACTGGCAGAGGGTGCAGTAGTTTTTTCAATTTTCTATCCCCTTGACGTTGACAACGATCACAAGTTTTGACATATTCATATATGTCACTATACATTTGCGGCCAATAGTAATAATCACACACATTATTGAACATGATTTCTGTTCCTAAATGAGCACCTATAGAGTAATCATAGATTTGGGTAAGTATTGGATCTAGTTCATGTTCTTGCAGAACTTTGAGCAAATTATTGGGTTTGCATCTGTCTTTTTTATATAGAATTTCTTCTTTTATGATGAAGAATTGACTTTGTGCCTCCAGTTGTCTATGTTGGTCTCAATTATAAGTAGGTGAATATTGTTGGTATAGCAGATAATGTTTTAATATTGAGTATCGTTGGGGGTCCATTTTCTTTATTTATTGTCAGGACACCAGAACCTGGATTGGATTCTTTTCTTCAGATTTGAGTGTTAAAAGATATTTATTTATTTATTATTATTATTATTATTTTTTTTAAATATACTAATTCTTATCCTTTTTTAATATTCGTTTATATCCCACCAGGTTTCGCAGAATTCTTGATCACTTGGAGGTATGTTTGGTCTTACAGTTTTATAGTCATTAGTATTAAATTCTTTCATTCTCTCGAGGTCATACATTTCTTGGGTATTTGGTGCCTCTTCATAAGAGTCTTGCCAGTATTCATTAGAGGTGGTTATGGGCTCTTTACCACTATTTTCATTCCAGCTGTACTATTCATCCTGGGTTTCTTCTTCATCTGTTTCATATTTATTGTCATCATCGTCATTCATATCATCTACTTCTGAGTCATAGTAGTAATTTCCAATACTTGCCCAAAATTTTTCAGTTTCGGCATAACTTCTGTCTCTAGTTCTCCATGATACGAATTCATTTAAGTTCTTACAACTAGTGGGATTTATATCTTTCTCATATACAGTAGGAATCTATTCCATTTCATCTTTATTGGTTAGTTCAGTTAAGTATCCATCTATATTCATCATTGTTTTTTGATTATCCATTTCTTTTTCTAACCCATTTCCAACTTGTGCTGCCTGAGTTTGTTCATGATGGAGTTTCCAGTAGGGCAGCTTTAGTTGTTTTTTTGTAAATTTTGCTCTATTTGCTTTACCAGGTTCTTTGAATATTAGGGTTTTTTCATCTTCTAACCATTCATTGACGGTATTGCAGTAATAATTTTCCTTTTCGGTCCAATATTTTTCATTTTCTTCAGTGTTATAACCTGGGTTTTCTGGGTTCTGAGAGTGATTTTTATTTCTTGGAATCTCTTTCACTATCCAGGATAGGGCATCTGCGTTGTGATGAATATGACCAGCCCTATGCACAATGGTGAAATTGTAAGGTTGCAAGTGTAGAATCTACCTAGCCCTTTTCCCTTTTAATGCTGTAGTTTGTAACCATTTTAGGGCTGCATGATCAGTCACTATTATGAAAGGTTTGAACCCGAAGTAATGTTGAAAATGTTCCACAGCCCAAACTACAGCATAACACTCTAGCTCAATCATGGCATAATTCCTTTCTGTCCTAGTTAAACTTTTGCTAACATAAGCTATAATGTGCTCTTTTCTATTTTTTCTACTTTGTGCTAACACCATGCTGAGACCTAGTCCTGAAGCATCTGTATGGAGGTAAAAGGTTTTGTCGAAATCAGGGTACCTTAGAATTGGGGCTGAAGTAAGGTGGGTTTTTAATTTTTTGAATGCTTGTTCTTGTTGAGCCCCCCATTCGTATTTTACACCTTTTTCTAATAACTGGTGCAATGGTTTTGCAATTGTTGCAAAACTTTGAATGAAGCGATGATAATACGAGGCAAGACCAATGAAGCCTTGTAATTGTCTTAAACTTCTGGGAGTAGAGAAGTTTTTTATTTTAGTTATTTTCTTATTATCAGGTTTTATGCCATTCTTTCCTACTATATGTCCTAGAAAACAGATGTTTGTTCTAAAGAACTGACATTTTTCTGGATTTACTTTTAACTCTGCTTTTTGGATTACTGAGAGAATTTCCCTTAGGTGTTTGAAATATTCGTGTAATGTAATCTAATAGACATTTATATCATCTAAGTAAACTATGATGCATTTCCCAATGTATTCCTGCAAAATTTCATTCATGGCTCTCTGAAATGTAGCTAAGACATTGTATAGCCCAAATGGCATTACTTTAAAGGCATAAGTGTCTTGTTTGATAATGAATGCTGTTTTCTCTTAGTCTTCTTCATTCATTCGTATTTGCCAATAGCCACTAAATAGGTCGAGGCTAGAGAACCATTTTGCCTTACCAAAGGCTTCCAAGAGTTTATCAATCTGGGGTAGTGGATATGCGTCCTTCCTGGTTACCCTATTGAGCTTTCAGTAATTCACACATAAATGGAGTTTACCATTTTTTTTTGGCACCACTACTACAGGTGAAGTCCAAGGGCTCTTTACTTCGTATATTAGATCGTTTTCTAACATTTTATTAATTTCTTCTTTTATGAATTCTTGTTCTTTAGGCGAGGCTTGGTATGCGGATTGCCTTATGGGTTTGGCTTTTCCAGTGTCTATATCATGTTGAACTATAATGGATTGGCTTAATTGATTGAGGCTGGTTGCGAACGAGCTGCTAAAATTATTTAGAAGTAGTGTTGCTTCCTTTTTTCCTTTTTCGTTTAGGGTTTCCATATTTACTAATTTTTTGATTGCTTCCATAGGTGTTACTTTGTCCTTACTAGGCTCCTCAGGGGTTGGAATTTCCTCTAAAGTTGTTAGGTATATTGCCGGACTATAGACATCTTCCTATGGGTTGGTGTATAACTCTTCTCCTTCTGATAAGATATCGTTGGTATAGTAGCTTTCGACTTTTTTGATATTCTCCTCTTCATAGTTATTAAAGAAATCATCCTCATCACTACCATAGTTTTGGGGTAGCCTTATTTTATCTTCTCTGGCCTGGTAGATATGGACTTTTATGTTTTTGCCTATGTATCTTAGGAATAATTTTCTTTCATCGAAGTGGAGCCGGGCGTGCACTTTCTGAAACCAGTTCATTTCTAATAACAGCATTTCATCACTATTTTTGATTACTTGAAAGCTAGTAGGCACCATTACATCTCTTATAATTAATTTTATTTCCAGTATCTTGTCCAACGTCCTTTCTCTGGTACTATTGGCTATTACGATGATGGTGTTCAAAGGCTCTTTAATTGTGAGACCTAGTTTTTTTGCTAACCCTTTTGACATGATACTTACGGCAGCCCAGAGTCTAAGACTGCCAAAATCAGGTTGTTTTGCATTCTAACATAGCATTTGGCAGCAGTTGTTCATTGGTTATATTTATTATCGGCAACATTTGACTTTTCAACGTCTGTGATAATAGGTCATTGTAGTGCTTGAGTGAGGTTACACCTTTGCTTAGGTATTTGTAGCATTTGGGCATAGGTGGCATTAGCTCTCTGGTTTAATAGGTCTTCTGCAATATTATATTGGGGAGCGGTGTCTACAACGAAAGGGCCTTTATGATGTTTCGGGGTAGTTTTTACTTGTTGAGGTTGGCCAGTATTTGTTCTTTATCAATTCCTTTCATGGGGATAGGTTGGGTTAATGGTGCCTTTTGGCTTGGTTCCTGAATTACTCTGCTATATAATCGTTCATCTCAATTCACCTCTGTCCTTTTTCGAGTCTCTCCTTTCTATTAGTGGTATAAGGTTGATGATGATGCTGAGTTACACGTATACCTCTTCCTCGGCTTTATTGTCATATAGGTTACGATAATTAACATCCCTTGGTTGCTGCAGAATCCTATTTACGTGGGGTCTTCTGGGGTTTTGACATCATTCGGAAAGACAATTTCTAGCAATATACCTCCTTTCCACACAATTGTAGCATTCAACACTGCTGTTAGATGTTTGTCATAGGTGGTAAGTCTATTTTGGGTAGGCTAGGGGTTATAGGGTCCATTTTGAGTTGGTGGGGGACTAATTTCGGCTCTAGCAGCAAGGGTGGTGGTTAATATTTGCTGCATGGTTTGACTAAACTTTTCTATTAGCTTGTCAGTGGGTCCTTCATTTCTCCTTTCTTGGTAGTAGTCTCCAGCTTCTACTTTACGGCTTCAAGAATTGCTGCGTCAAGACTATCTGGTTCAATCATTGATATAAAAGAAGCTATTTTACCTTTCAATCCTCCCATAAACATTCTTATGACGTAACTATTTGGGAGCCTATCATCCGGATCAACCTTCTTTAACAGCCGTTTAAATTTGTAAGCATACATTTCTACTTTTTCATTATCCTTTTGCTGAAGAGAGTTGAGGTCTACTTGCCATTTGTGGTGCCTTTCTGGGGTTGCAAATACCTTATAAACGTATGAACAAAGCTGTTTTCTGGTTCCTCTTCGTTATTCCAGACTCTCAACATCCTTTTATTATCATTATACCAGTTGACAGCAATTCCATCTAAATATCCAGAGGCAATAGCTATTCATCATCCCTTGGGCCAATTATTAATGTTAACTGCTTGTTCAAATGTGTCTATCCATTCTACTGAGTTCTCTTCTTCTTTTTCCTTGAAGGTTTTTACTTGTACCCAGTTGGTTTCTCTACTACGGTAATTGACGTCATTATTTTCTTCATTAGCTACTTCGGTTGCAGCATCCGGAAGGCTTGGGCAATATCTCTTAATATACTATTGATATTTTCCTGGTAACTTGGTTTTGGGTACTAGTGGGACCTTGCTTATCGAAGTTGAGTAGGTAGTTTAACATTCCTTCACTGCGCTCACCTGCTGAGCTTGGAGACTTTTCAGGTGAGGATGCTATCTTGTTTTTACTCTTTTGCGACATTGTTACTTGTGGTGTTCTAAGTTTCTTTAGTTCGTGAATTTTTTTTTGATCAGGAGGCGTGAGGGAGGAGGGGTAACAATGTGATTGCTAATATTTTAATTAGTTCAATCTCACAGTCACCACCACTTGAGAAAGTTGGGACTGGTTCTAGATAGAACTCGACTTTCGGGATTGTTATACAAGAATCTAAGGCTATACCCTAACTAAACTCTGCTATACAATACACCAAAAGTTCTAGTTAGGCAGGCTTTGATTGAGACGTGGAAAGACTTGGTCCGAGTTTTAGGCCCTTTGGGTATTGCTGCGGCTTATCTCTAGTACTGGGTCTTTAGAGATAAGTATTAGGCTCTTTAATCCTAATCTTTGTTAATACCTTACTATAGTTTTTACTATAGTACCCTATCCAATTTCCAATTTTCCAGGTGCGGGTCACAGGATCTGAGTCATGGGGACATGAATTTCAGTGATTTCGGAGTAAGCGACCTTATTACTTAGATTTAATGACGTTGATCACAAACTTAATCACTTTAATGGGTTATATATAACGGTCCTAAATTGGAATTTAACTATTTTTACGCTTTTTCTTCAAACTAAGGGTTACGATTTTACGATCACAGGAACAAGACAATACGAATTCGGTTTATCTCTAGCATATTTTATTACAAGAGGGAACTACTTTGAGCATGATACTTTGCGCTGCTTAGATTTTCAAGCTTTTGAACTCAACCCGAGTTGTTTTTATTTGAGGTAAAATCGATCGTTTTTATATATTATTTTTACATAGTCGTATAAAGGGTATATCTAATTTAAATATACTTTTGCTCTTATTTTACCCTTCCCACCTATTTTACCTTTCGTATGGATCGACTCTTTTTACTTTATTTAATCGATTTGGTCGATCCACCCGTTTTGAGAAATAGCATAAATAACAAAAATAAAAAAAATAGAACAAATAGAAGAAAAAGAAATTTTGTGCTACGTCGGATGCGTAGCACCACCGGGGTAAGCGGTTTCGACTTTTACACTGTTCCTGATAGGGTAAGAAAAAAATCAATTTACATGCTGTTCCTGACAGGGTTCTAAAAAGGTCTAATACTGTACTACTATAGTGAAGTATATGAAAAAAAAACTAAGTTAGGGTACCATATGTAGAAGTATAGCTTAGCGCTATTGCTATTGTTTTAATTGTCTATTAACATTAAATGTAGTCTATTGTATGTAGAAGCATAGCTATTTAAATTGCCTATTAACGTAAATCGACAGTTTATTATCCCTTACACTGTTAAGCAGGCGAAGTTGCCTGCTAGTTGCATTTCTCAGTAAATCATAATTTAAAGGTATATGGCGTCAAAAGAAGACTAAATCGTTGGGTTCGAGAGTCTTCAAAAAATGGTATTCTTTTTAGCACGTAGTCTTTCTATTCTTTTATTTCTTCACTCACTTTTTGGATCCTTTAAAAATACGTTCTTGTACTCTCTAAGAATATCCGACGTGTCTAACTATTAATAATCTTCGGACTTTTGATATAGCCGTAAAACTGCGCAAACAATTTGGCGGCTAAAAACATGAAGACGAATGGGTACCTGTGTGCCGACAATTCGGCTTATGGTGTAAGGGATAAACCTTATTTCTCGAATTCAAATGACTTAAAAATTTCCTCGAATAAGTATCAATTTTTATAAACACTATTTAAGCAGAGGTATTAATATTGATATGGTAAAATTTAATTCTTATAAACTTGAATTCCTGATAGATTTGTGAAATATAGCTTTAATTCAATAAAAATATACAACTTTGTACAAAATATTTTGCTTAATTCTTGATCACAATATATCTATTTTTTGGTATGAAGTTATTTAATAGCTGATATAACAATAATATTAGTTAAATAATGCTAGATTAATGCGTAGCATTGTGTGTCTTGAGCCTAAGATAAAATTTTGAGTTTGTTTTAAGTATAGTCATGTGCGCAGACAGAACGTTTTTGATGTGACAATATAAGACAAATATTGATTTTAATTAATCAAATATGTAATTGCCGAATTTAAAAATACATTCAGGATTAATAGTGTGTATTTTTAATAATATCCAAATTATTGTGCTAGAATAACTTGAATAAATGATTCTTTAATATTCGTAAATTTAATATAAGGAATTTCAATCAAGGCAAATTTGCCGAATTGAAAGCGTTAATACGTATGTAGTTGATATGAGTGCGTGAGAGTGAAAACCAGGAAATAAAATTTAACCAATCAAATTTTATTTCCTGATGTTCACTCTTACACACTCATAATATATATGGATCAAATTATCATAGTGACTTAAGTCGTTAAGTCGGACGAGAAATATTTCTTGATTAAAAATAAAGGATGCTGTGCTAATTAAATCTGCAGTTCTATAGTTTTTTCTATATTAGTACAAATCAATCCTTTTTGAAAAATAAAGTTTGATTTTTGTACGGAGAAAAAAATGCATGCGTCCGAGGTTTATTATAGCAAATTTTTTCCCTTGTTAATAATTGAGTGTTTCACAATAGCTATCGGTTATCTAAAAAATTTTTTAAAGTTGCTACTGAAAAAATATACAGGTTTTATTTTTCATCCGTCACTTTAGTGAATCCATTTTATAATGTCTCTTATCAAAGAACCCGATACCTCATCAATCTCAAATTCAAGACTTTTATTCCATACGAAAAATTTAATCAAAGAAATGGGCTGGAAATAGAAACACTTAATGGAACATTTAGTACTATCAAGTCGTGGAAATACAATGGAATTAATGTCGCAGGTATTTGGCTATAAATTTCAACCCTATCTGCAAAATATGTGCGTACCAATATATCCCATTAATGAATCAGTTTTTCTGTAGCAAAAATATCACAAAGTAAACAACTGTCAGTTGCTGAAGTTCAAAAACATCAATATTTTTACTGCAACAATGTAATCAACCTTTATGGAATAACGAAGCTTCCGAATGGCACCGATTGTTTGATAATGCATTACGCGAAATGTGGAAATTTACATGATTATCTTTCTGAAAAGAAACTTGAGTGGGATGAAATGTTAAAAATGTCAATTGATATCGCAGCGGGATTGTTAGAATGTCATAGTCGTGAAATTATACATTTGAATATAAATTCTGAAAATATTTTAGTGGACAAGAACGAAAATATTTTAGTGGACAAGAACTTAGAATTAAAGATTGCGGGCTTCGGCTTTGATATAAATAAAGAATTCGATAATATAGGTAAGTTAATACGTAACTTAAAATATTTTTAGTTTATAATTTCTAATCTAATTTGCATACACTTTAGAAACTGTACGATGGGCTGCACCTGAACGATTTTCAGAGAAACCAGAAATGAAAAAAGAAATGCAAAAACTTTCAGGTATATTTAAATTTAATGAAAATTTGCGACATCTTTTATTTCGATATTTATTGTTAGCGAATCTTTTATTTGCAGATATTTATAGTTATGGATTAGTTGTATGGGAAATTGCAATGAATGGCAAAAAGTATGTTCGTTCGATCATATGAAATATATATATATATGGAATTTATAGTTTAATATACTAATAGCATTATTTTCTCGTGTAGACCCTATGATGGCATGGAAATTGATGAAATCAAAGACACCAAGGCTTCTGGCGATATTAGTTATTTGAGTGGTGAGTTTAATAAAAAAGATTTGCTAAACACTTTAAAAAGTATAATAGAAAACTGCTGCAATTCAAATCCTTCCCAGAGGCCAGCTTTAGAAAAGGTTGTATTCGAACTAGAAAGCTTGCGCTACGAAAATCCCTAGAAAAGCTTCAAAATGATCCAAAAGAACTAGCATTGTTTTATTTCAAGGAGGAAATGTATGATGCTCTTGTACATCATTTAACAAATTTATTGAAAGATAATGGAAGGGACGCATTTGTGTTACAGTATCGTGGTGCAGCATATTACAATCTGAAAAAATATGAAGAATCAATCTTGGATTTAAAAAAAGCAAATTATTATAAGCCAAAAGATCCATTTACGCTAAAATATTTCGGAGCAGTTTATCGTGCAAAGTATCAATATGAGAAATCATTTCGAGACTTAACCGGTTCATTAGAAGACTTAAACGGTTCATTAGAAGATTTAACCAGTTCACTAAATATTGAACCGAATGACCCATTTGCATTGAGAGAACGGGGCGCAGTTAATTATCTTTTGAACGAAGAAGAGAAATCACTCGTAGATTTAAATAATTTATTGAAAATTGATCCGAATAATATACTTGCAATAGACTATTTAAGAAAAATCTATCTTGCACGTAAAGAAAAGTTAGTGGATGAGAAAAAATTTGCAAATTCATTGAGACAACATGGAGGAACGTTTTACAACATGAAACGATATAAGGATTCATTTACATATTTTGACACATCACTAGATATCGAGCCAGAAGACGTATTTGCTTTATCACACCGTGCTTCTATTTATCGATTGTTTTTCAAGAAATTTGAAAAGGCACTTGCGGATTTAGACAGAGCATTAGAAATTGATCCAAATTATGTATTTGCATTGAGTGAACGTGAAGAAACCTATCAAATGATGCACGAGAATAATAACAATATGAGGTAATATTCTTTTTTACAAGATTTAATAATTTTATATGAATTTACTAATTTTCCCCACCACTTATGATTGGTTCTACTAATTATTCACATATCGGAGTATCTGTGTTATTAATCAATTTTATAGTTTTCCGATAGTGAAGTGGTGGGGGAAATTAGGGCACCCATTTTATATGGATATATTGACATTATGCACACGTTGTGATGTCTTTTTTCAAATTTCATGCGCATGGAATTCTGACCTGCATTATGGCTAATGCGGGCCAGAATTATGAGATTCTGAAGTATTCCAAAAACTCCGAAATATTCCCATGCGCATGTACACATCACTATGCACGCGGCTACCTATAATGATAACACCAACTTCTTAATATTTATGTCAGTCATTGATATTACCAAATATAGAGGTACGCTAAACTGACCCCTAAAAAGGAAAATTTTTATTATCTATTTTTGGTATACCCAACTGTACGCCCTTATGCGCAGAATGAATTTAATGGAATTATGTACGCCGAAGTCGTGTAATTATGTCGTGTAATTATGTCGATATTGTTTTTGAGTGTTGTCAAGAATTTTAAATAATACAATATAGATCAATATTTAAAATTGCTGATTTCACTCAATACGTAGACGCATTGTATTAACTTCTTACATTATAAAAGGTCATTTAAAAAATCATCTTCATTACCACCATTCATGGAAGACTCTACAGGAACTACTTTAAAAGTAGATAAAAAATGGCATACAATTTTAGGTGAAGAAATACCTTTAATTGAGCCCCAATATTATGCTAAACTTTGCAAAATTATTTCACCACCAAAATTATCATCTAATGAAATTCATGGAAGCGTAACATTAGTTCTCCCCTATATTCTGCAAAAAGTTAAAATGTGGGGAGCTGATATACTTTTTGCTGAAAACATTAACAGCTTAATTAAAGAAGATGATGAAAATGATGCTGACGACGATAACAATGATGAGAAGGAACAAAAGAAAATTCAATTATCTCGGTTTGATTGTATCGCCAGCTTATTCGCATCTGCCGAGTGTACTGTAATTAAAGATATCTTTAAAACTCTATCACAATTTCCAATGGCTTTTCCTTTAGTAACTCCAGAACTGAAGGAAGCAGCAAAATTCAGGGTGATGCACCCTCTGTTTACCGGTCCAGTTATCAAATGGGAATCTGAGCCCGGAAAAATAATTGAAAATCATCTTTTTCAGGACCCATTTCATATGATTGTCGCTATTAGGATTGGAACAAACACCCCAGGTAAAAGCACTATTCTTAATCAATTAATGAAACGAAATTTTATGTTCTCATCGCCCAACGAGCCAGGAGCAGAATACGGAATGCCACATATGATTAGTGGAAGTATTGAGTTTACTTGGTTGACCGAGGAGACATGTGGAGTAGGCCTGTGGACAGAAGTTTTGAGGAATTTCTATAAAGAGAAAAAAAACAAGATCGTATTGCTTGCGAATTTACACGGTGATGCTTTAAATTATCCAGATCAAGTTAATTTTTTAAGACAATTTCCATCTAGTTTTTTGGTTTTTTTAATGCCTGGATATGATGATAATCAAAAAAATAATCTTAATGAATTAACAGGCAATAAAAAAAGTGTCTATTGCTGGATAAATCAGAAAAATAAACCAAAGTATTCATTTGATACTACACTTTTAACAAATGATCGAAATTTAAAAAAAATGAGGATGATGATCAACGAAGCCTTAGAACTTGATACTTCCAACAAAGCCTTAGATCTTAATGATTCAACATTTGACATTAGTAAATTAAAGTTAGAGGGAACGCTTCGATTTACAGAAGAGATTGAATTTCTCGAATCACGGCATTTAATTGATTTTATTCAAGAAAAAAATTGTCGTCATATCAAATTAGAAGTTATGCAGCTTCAACAAACGCCTAAAGACGGCTTTAGTATTATTCAAAACAATCGTGAATTAAAAGATCTAATAAGCTTATTTGTAAATACATTAATGTTACCTCTTGATAAAAGAAGACGAGCTTTAGCACATATTGAAAGAGAAATTTCTAAGCTTTCTTCAAAAGAATCATCCAATGCCCGAGAAAAAGCTATATCTAAAAGAGATGAGTTGCGTAAAATTAGCGTAGGGAATAAAGCTAACGAGAAAAAAGTTAAAAATGAGATTGCTAAAATTTGGGAAGAAATTAATAACATTAGTTTAGGTTTGGAGCACTTTTTCCGTGAGCTAGGCCAATTTTATAAATTTACATCTGTTTACGACCGAATGGCAGATATTATCGATCGAAAGGCAGATATTATGAAGTTGCCAGAACTTTGTGCAGAACTTTTAATTAGTGGAGATGCTATAGAATTACTAGATGGTGATGCTGGAACTATACCTGAAACTTGGTTCTCAGCAATTTGCAAACACGTTGACAAATTATATCCCAAACTTAAAATTTTTGTGATTAGCATCCTTGGTTTACAATCGTCTGGAAAGTCTACTCTTTTGAATGCTCTTTTTGCATGTAGATTTGCAGTTTCAGTTGGACGGTGCACTAGAGGTCTTTTTATGCGATTGCTATTTTTAGAAGAAGATTTAGCCCAAGAAATTGGTGTTGATGCATTTGTTTTGATTGATACCGAAGGTCTTGGTGCACCTGAAAAAATGGATGAACCAGAAGCGGAAAAAAAAGATCGAATATTAGCAACGTTTGCAATGGGTGTTAGCAATTTAACAATCCTCAATGTACTTGGAGAAGCTACGCGAGACTTGACTGAAATTTTACAAATTGTCATTGTAACAATGGCACGTCTTGAAAAAGCTGATATGGCCCCTGATATTCTTATGGTACAACACGTTTCTGAAAGAAATATAGCAAAATTAACTGAGCCAGAAGAGAAATTTCGGAATGCTCTCCAAGAAGCTTTGAAAATAACGGATAAACAAGATACTAGGATGGGAATATATAGTATGAAGTGTCTTCAAACTCTTGAAGAAAGAATAAAAGATGGTAAACTTCTTATACCATTTCGACCATTCAAAGATGGAGCAACTGCTCATGCTCCACCATCAGGACAATATCATGACGACGTTGTTAATTTATATAAATCGATACTTGTCGATTGTAAGAACTCAAATAATAAAATCGAATTTGCAAAATGGTACTCGTTAATACAGGATTACTGGAGTGCCGTTTCCCATGATGATTTTGCTGTTCAGTTTAAAAATATTAAAAAAATTTATGAATTCATTGAACTTGGTGATCAAATCACAAAGGTGAAGGAAGCTATTGACTCGTCGTTCTTCGAACATGAGGATCATATTTCACAAAAATTTTTAGAGCTTATATCAGATGACAAGGAAAATCAGAATATTAAAGATGAATGCATTAGAATGATTACGAAAGAGCTAAAAGATGTTCCATGTTATAATTACGAGAAGTGCGAAAAATGCATGAAAACAAATGAAGTAAGGGAGAATTTAGATAAATACCTTGAAGAAAATAAGAAAGATGAAATATGTAAAAATGAAACCCATGATACTATTGAAAAGTATATAGAGCAAAATCGTAATTCAAGTAATAGAAAACTTACTCAAAAACTCGAAGCTTCCATTATTCGGAAAGGCCTTTCATCCGATTTTTTTGAAATCATTAATAGAAAAATGGAGGAGATTATAAACAATATTCAAGGTAAAAATTTGTCTGACCAGGAACGTGAGAAAAAAGTTGAAGAAATATGGATAGCACTACGAAATCATTTAGCATCTAGAGATAATGTTATACCAGTTACACAACAAATCGATGAAGAAGTCGGAAATGAATTTAGCAAAACAAGGTCATCTTTTATTAATGAATACAAAAAAGAAACACGACCAGACTTGTCTAAACGCGTAGCATATAAAAATTATTTTAAACAGCATTATCTAGACGTGAAAGACGTTAGTGAACTTAAAAATATACTTGATAGTTTAACAGATAAAATCTTAGAAAAAAGAAAATCTCCACTCTTTTACGATGGAATTGTGCGTGATCTCAGAAAAGAGATAGATAATACTCTCGATGAATTCTCAAAAAAATTGGAAATAAGTTTAATAACTGAGTTTAAATGGGATGTCTATTTATATGCTCTAAAAGTGTTTAAGCAAACAATGACAAATCACCAAAACAAATGGAATAAAGAACACAGTCCGCTTTCTATTTTTTATCAAAAGAAAGATGAACACAAAAAACTCATTGATACCCGACTTCGACATGGATTTTCTCTTGTTTCCGAAGGCCAAATTATTGGGGATTATCTAGTAAAAGCTATTCATAAAAAAGCAATGAAGATGGCAAATAGAAAAAAAATAGATTCAGTAAAAAATGTTGGGTGGATGAACGGCCCTGAGACAGTGAGACTTAAATATTTTAGGATGCTTGCTGAACAGGTTTATTATGGTAATAAAGAGAAGGCTATATCTCACTTTAGGTATCCAAGAAGTATCGAAAGTTGGTTTGAGGCTGAAGTCAATAGCATTAAGAGTAACCCAGAGCCTGAATATAATAAAACTTATGAATCAGAATTTGATCTTGTTCGTCAAGAAATTCGTAATTGCCGAAGTTCTGAAAAAATTAAAAACTACGTAAATAATTACATGACAAATGCTAATGTAGATTATGAAGTTGATTTGAGGAATTTAAAAGATAATGATAATAAGTTATGCGCTTATATAGAGGATAGGCTAAATAATTATAACAGACCAATACCTGAACGTTTTATGGATGCATCTGATGATGAATCAATTATGAAGATGCTTGGATGTACAGAAACTTGTTATTGGTGTGGTGCTCTATGCTGGGGTTCTCGGGGTCATCATGAACATAAGGATGAAACAAGAAAACATCATACAAGTCATCAACCAACTGGACTTGGAGGAACTCGCCGTAAAGACGTCGATACGCTTGTTGCAGAACAATGTCACCAATGGACAGAGAGAGAAGACCAGGAAGTTTGGTATCGCGACAAATTAACAAAATGGAGTGTTGTAAAAGCCGATCATTTTTCAGATTGGATATTTGAGAAACATAATAAAAACCAATTTAATAATCTCAAGCGTTGGTTTTTTGAAAGATTGCATCATGACTTGGCAAAGCACTATAATGTAAATCCAGCAACTGATGATGAACTAAGGAATAATAATTGTACGGGCTTGAATTATGTAGACATTATCAGTGCACTTGACGGCAGGATAAAGTGATAAATCGTAATAAGTACGTGTCGTTATCTTCAATTTTTTCTGATTTGTTATATGTATATGTATATCTAATTTCAACACTTACCATTTCCGTATTCTCATTAAAATCTGATTTTAACATGCATGAATTTAGTAGGAATTCACCACTAAATTAATGGTACGGCATATGGAAGTCTGTTTTCCTAGAAATATAAAAGTTTACACTATTGCTTGAATATATACAAGCTAATCTAAATTATACAATAAAAAAAAATACTAAAACTATTCAAATTAAACCAGTCATTTACATTTAATTCATAGGATTTTTAAAACATAGCGATAGTAGAAAACTTGTCAATAATATATTTAAAATTATTGGTACTACGAATATGCTTAATTTAGAATTGTATGTTAAATGTAACCTTCTTTAGGATTAAATCTAATTCTAATTTGTAGAAAAATACGAAAAGCATCATTTCTTTATTCATGTATTGACTGTTTCAAGTGAATGAATAAACTTTTATTTATTTATTATTACTCATCTTATATATTATTTTATATTTGAAAGTTTTCTTCGTTATTTTGAATTTATATTTATAATTAAAATGATCAATAATTCTATCCCCAAAATTTTTTTTTAATTAAAGAAAAATTGAATCAAGATTTATAATAAAAATGTTCTATTTTCTAGTAGTTCTAGTCTTGCAGTAATTAGTTTTGCCTTAGAAAAATTTTCGAAATCAAAATCCAAGCTTTGAATATAATTATAAAGTAACCAATGACTTGATATTCAGATTTATTAATAAACTGTGAATACTTGTGTCAATATATATTGTTGGAATATAGTGGTGCGAACATTGAACAGATGATACAGATAATCCATTGATTATTTTAAACCGGTGAATATCTAAAAAACTATGGTTCGCATCACTACTGGAATAGTCAACGGTTACACATCTTATTTAGTACAAAGTTATTTTTGACATTTTGCAGTTAGAGTTGGTCTGACTATTCTGTGAGATGCTGAATCTGTAGTAAAATTTGTTATTGGAATTAAAAAATTGCGAAAATGTTAGAGACAATTGATGCTAATTAAACATTAATCAGTAAAAAAATTTTTTATCAAAATTTATTCATCCAAAATTATGAGCTTTTGGCAAAGTGGATAGGAATATTATACTGTTAATATCATTCAATTTTGTTTAAAACACTTTGGTTTTGAATTTTAGTGCAAAATTTAGACATAATTTTAAAATTACAATTTGCAGATTACATTAATTTTAAAAAATGAGGTGACAGTTGGAATAAAGTTTAAGCCAATTTTAGAATAATATGATATATTACTGTTGTTAATTTATATTAATTGAAGCTTAAGCGTAGAAATAGGTAATACGGTTTATATTTTATTACTGATGCGGTCGAAAATTTTCATCTGATCACAACATTTTGAAGCCAATTTTATCGATAATGTAAATCAGTAAAGTATTCATTCTTAAAAATTGTAGCATTTTCCTCAAATATTAAAACAATAATCAAAATTTTAATCTTAAAACTCTAATTATAAGTAAAAGAAAACTACTCAATTACTCTTTACAAATAGCAAAAATATTTTTATTAATATTTAGAATTAGAAAAACTAAGAATACAGTCACTCTCGTTATAGTGAGCTTTCAATATAGTGAAGATTTTTTTTGGAACAAGTCCAGGACTATTAATGTTTCACTCGATATAATGAAGTTTTAATAATAAACTCTCAATATAAGATATAGGGAAGATTTTTTTAAAAAAATACAGTACATTTATAATAAATTTACTCTCAATATAATAAATATTTATATATAAAACAATTTTTAATCAATTATATTAATTAAAATATTCTTTCAGTATAGTGAAGATTTTTAAATTTAAATATAAACTTCATTATATTAAAAGTTTTTAATATAAAAGTCTCTTGATATAATGAAGATTTTTTATGTTAAATATAAACTTTACTATATAAAGAGTTTTCGATATAGTAAATCGATATAGTGAAGAAAATTCTTCAGCCCGACAACTTCACTATAAAGATAGTGACTTGTATTTCTGAACTCTATTCATTTATCTATCAACCTGCCATTGCGAATTTAATATGGTTATTTAATATTGAGGAGCATGTGCTTAAAGTTGTTGAAAAAGCTATTAAAAAAAGAGAGCAGCTAAACAAGACTTTTAAAGTTTTTGACTGCTTCCAATCTTTCAGGTCTAAAGATCTTAATTCTAGTGCTGCATAGTTTTTGACTGCTTCCAACCTTTCAGGTCTAAAGATCTTAATTCTAGTGCTGCATATCTCACTGGTCATTAGATTTGATTATTAGTTACGAATTAATTCTACCTAAATTATTCTTACTAAAATTACGAATTAATTCTACTAAAACTAAGTTTACCAGAATTATTAATTAATTCTCTCTAGGGTTGTTAAATTACAGTAATTTTACATAATTTTACGTAAGTTTGTATAAGATTCTGTAAATTGAAATTTCATGCAATTGTAATTTTGGACACATGATATTTAGTTTCTGAGATCAAATTTTTGGCGATTTAGGTTTTACATTTCAAATCGTACATTCAAATCAATTGCTGCAATAATGCTGGCCGAAATTTTGTAAATCTGGTACTTTATGTATGACGTGTGAAAGTTAACATGAAAATTGATTTTCTGTAACTTACGTAAAATTACATATTTTATTTTAAACTGATGTTGATTAAATTATTCTCGCTCGGAACTCTTTATTAGACTTTCATGAAGATACATTATGGGAGTAGTGCTCCGCTTCCCAAATTTTCTTCTGTGTGTTATGTCATAACTCCACTTTTTACAATTAATTTTATGGTCACTGGACTTATGGTCACGTGACGAAGCATAAGTGAGGATCGAAAGTACGTGCCAACGCTTCGGTATGGCGCATTCTACTTTCTTTATACATACATTTTTTTTTTTTTTTTTTTTTTTTTGGCACATATTCTCACATGGCGGGGCAGAGCTCGTGGTGCAATGAGTAAGGAAGGGGTGGGAGGGCCCAACACGAAGAAGCCAGATCGTAATCAGGCAATGAAAAGAACAAATGAGCAAGCGAAGTAAGAAAGCACTGCTGATTTACCATTTTCTGTTCACTTATTTATAATCCTCGTTACTTTTCCCACATGTATTTTTATTTTCTTTTTTCCCATGTGTATTTATCATTTCTGCACATTCACATGCATAACTAATACCTTATTTATACATAATTATTATATAACTATCATCTCATTTTCATGCATAACTTTTCCCTAACGCATTTATTCACATGTAAATCTAATTCACTACCAAAATTGTATTAGCCACAAAACTGGTTATCCTCGCGATAATAACCCTAGCGTGACTAATGTCAACGCATAGGGTTATTACCTCGAGCAAGATTTAGTGTAACATACATACCCCGATCGTCTTATTGCACTTGATTTAAGTTTGAAATCGATCCATTTTTTAATCTTATTTTCTAGATGAAAACTTTTTAGACATTTCGTACAATCAAATAATATTATGCATTTATCCCTTATTATTTAAAATAATTTTTTTTATTCTTGCCAAGAGGCAGAAAAAAATTAATTAGGGTCTTTTATAACTGCGTTAATCGTATAACCTTTGTTTAATGATTTTCTATCGTTATGCAATTTCATTGGTTAAAAAAAATTGATGTACACAATTTGATGTACAAAAAAAAAATTGCGGTAATTATTTTTATTTTAGGCCCTTATTTGTAATTATTTTCAAATTTGGGCCCTTATTTGTAATTTCTCCATAATAAAACCTTCTTTTACAATAAAAGTCAATTTTCCCCATTCTCTAGAATTTATACCCTTTGTTATAATACCATGTAGACTCACATAAGGTAAATCCCGTGAATAGAAAACAGGACCACCACTATCACCTTGAGCAGCAAGAAAATCTGTAACAATCAAATCATACTTAACATCATTACCAAAGATAAAATATCCCTCGAATGATTTTGTGTATCCGCAAGTAACAAATGTAGTCGCACCAGATTTACATAAGTGAGCACCATGGGTCGATATAATTTCACGATCTTTTATAAATAGTTGTCTATATGGATCTGAATTTGTATTTCTTATCACGTTTGTTGGTTTGATATCTGGATTTGTTAATCTGATTAAGCCAAAATCAGTTTCTTCTAAATCATGAAGTACCATTGGCCCAATTAAATCTTTTTTACGAAATCTCAATACTTCATCACTTTCAGAAGAATTCAACGGCATCATATAAAAAGTATTATGATCCGAAGCTGTATTATTAGAATCAATACAATGTCCCGCCGTTACAATATAATTCTTTAGTTCTCTATCTGCTACCGGAAAACCCGCTGTACATTTAGCCCTGCTACCTAAATTATATATAAAATCTCCATTTATTATTTGTCGATCTATTCCACGCTTGGTGTGAGTCGAATTACGAGGTTGTGTTCTAGAAGGTTGCCCTTGCACGTTCACATCGTAATAACGTATAACAGGATTATCTTCTCTTATAGCGTCTATAAAAGGTTTATTACGTCTATCGGCTATATGAGCTAGAAATATGACAATGTTATTTTCTTCAATGTCAATGTATATAAATACGCCAACTGGATGATGCGTACGCGATTTTGCGACTATTTGCTTTGACGAGTTTTTTAAGGATGATAGAGAATTTATTGCGAGTACAAATATTAATAACTCTCTATGCGGTTGTATATCAGATGAATTTAATATAATATCCTTCTTTGTTTCATCTACTATCATGATGATTATTTTATTACTTTTTACATTAATATAAGTTCCTCCAAAACTTTCTTCATTTTGTTCTAAAAATGGCTTCAAAAGTCCATCTACCTTGCATAAATTCTTCTCAATATTCAATAAATTCGGCACTTCAATTTCAGTTACATTCCATAATTTCGATAATGCTTCGTTCAAAGCATGAATCATAAAACATTTTTGTAGTATAAGAATAAGTAATAATAAATTTATGATAAAATAAATAGTTCTCATAATTACGTTGGTTTATAATGAAATCAATTAAATAATTGTTAATAATAGAGGTAAGATTGTTGTCAATAAAAATTATGGCACTTGTAACGGGTTATTTAACCTTTTTTTTTTTTATTAAAGGAATAATCTAAAGTTAAATACTTTGATATGATCGGTTTAAAATGACGAAAATTGGGGGAAATATGTAATTACAATGAAAATATTTAAAATATTTGTCGATACATAGGTCAAGATCGTAGTGAAACGAAATATCAGGAATATAGTGAACGAAGTGTATGGTTAGATTTAAGTCTTCTGATTAGCAGTTGTATCCAGTGATTTTCATGGCACAGCTCTTTGCTCTTTAATATTTCAATCACTATACCGGTAATACCAGGTGTTCGATAAGTTCCTAGACAGGACCGTTTCAATCACTAAAAGATTTCTGAATAAATTACTATTATCAATTATATAAAAAAAAAATTGTCAAGAAAATCCCGGGCTGCCGACCATATCCGGATCCAATAAAATCACAGGATCTCGTGTAACAAAACAAACGCGAAAAACTTCCTACCTCCAAGTAAAATTTTTAGAATGAAATTTTACTCATAAGGCACAATTTTTAATGCTAGATATATAGGGAATTTTTGAAATACTACGACTCATATATTTTTGGCCGGCAGGATACCCCAGCACATTACATTTCAGTTGGTATAAATTTAACCTCGGATAAACTCAGACACGTTGTAATCGTAAAACGATGAGTCAGTCGCTAATCGGTCGGATTTCACGTGTAACCTCTTGGGAGGGTTAATTCAGGTCGAAAGAGGCGTGTTAGATTTGTCGAGTGGTTTGCTTGGTAATGGTTGGGTTCTACCGGTAAAGGAGGTTTCGGGCCGGTGTTAGTCAAATATACTGGCGTACGTTAGTGGATACAAGTTGGGACAGATTATGTAGCAACGATTGTATTTAATAAAGATATCCGTTTGTTATTATCGACAAGCAATTTTATTATAAGTGATTATTTATTATATTTGTGTTATGTATTGGTTGCAAAGGGGAAGTTGTTCTTCCCAAAAGGCCTTTCGGCCTTTATTTATAATTAAAATCTCTATTTACATTATGCGATGGATACGACTGATATCACTTATGGTACTAATCAGTCGTATCCTACTGATATTTCCCTTCTGACCGATCGTTGCTATCCATCACATTCGACACATGCGTCACATGCGATAGATCGGTCACATGCGACGGATGCGATCGACCACTTTTCCGAATTAAGCAATGGACCCACCCCGTCAATTTTTAATCGACTGTCAGATGGGTCCACTAATTTTCCCCAAAGTTGTTATTGGTCGTGAGTAAATCGCCGAATAATTCAAGCCAATAGGAACTTGGGAGAAATTATTAAATCCCTGTCAAATATAGCAGTATGAAAAGTCTGCATTTTTTTTTATTTTATACGAGCGACGAAAAAAGAAATGATTTACAGATTTTCCCTTTTCGTCACTCATACATTAAATTTGTCTACACAAAAGAATGTTTATAACATTATAATTACCGATGATACAATTTTTATCGTCTAGTCTCATAATTTTACGTTTTTTAAAAATTTCACTAATTGAGAAAGATCAAAATTTAAGAATGACAATTTGAATTGACCTAAATCGTGAAAATCATTCGATTACTATATCCAATTAAAATTAAATAATTTGACCTTTTCGTTGTAATTATCAAAATTTCATCGTTATAAATCGATCAGGGCCAAAATTTTCATCAATATAAACTGATCAGTATATGTACCTGCGATCGACTAAATAAAATTAAACTTTCGGTAAAATAATCTATGAACTATACAAAGAATAATCCGGTTTTAGTTATGTATGGACAATCACTAGTTTTTATATTATTTCCGGTTCGGCAAAAAATAAAACCGCATAAGAAACTATTTATGAAATTATGCATACCACAACTAATGTGTCTATGAAGTGATTGTCTACAAAATGTGCAGAACCGAAAAAGTCCTTTTATAATATAAATAAACACCAAGCGAAATAACGAAATGTCCGAAACTGGGCGAAATTTCCGAAACTGGGCAAAATGTCCGAAACTGGGCAAAATGTCCGAAACTCGGCGAAATGTCCGAAACTGGGCGAAACGGCCGAAACTAGGCGAAACGGCCGAAACTGGGCGAAATGTCCAAGAGAATTGGTGATGGTGCAAAAATTTGAAGTTCTCGTGACTAAGGATGACACTGAAAGTATACCGGAAGTACTTTCGGACAGGAAAGTCAAAGTCCTACCAAAAGTCTCAATTTTCATCTTTCCCAGTGTGTCACCAAAAAACATAGCCACGTGATATCAATAAAAATACTAATTCATTAAGATTAGAGTTAGTGTTATACCAGGAACGGTGTACTATGTACATAGAGTATGGTTTACGAGAGAGTGAAATGATGTGTGCGATTCTTGACATATGATTGGGTGATCCGTCATTGTGACTTTTGGTAACACCCCAAACTTTACTTTAAAAGGTATGTATTCCTCTGTATGCTAAATCTTGTAATGAATTGGTACGCGTGGCTTATTCAACAGGAAAAAAGCGAGTTATGAACTAGACATATCACAAAAGCTGCAATAAAAAAATGGTAAGTTTTCACAATAGGAAACTAAATTCATTGTACAGTATGCGACGGTCGATAAATTCATTCGATCAAGTATCGAATATTATCTCATTAAACATCGAATAATGTTATCACGCCTCTATCTGAATTACTTATTTGGGGTTATTTGTATCACTGTATACTAGAATTATTTTTTCGTTTGTTAGACTGTTAATTTAGTTTTCGTATGATGATTTACAATTTTAATTGGGAATACAGTACCTGCTATTTATTAATGTGGCTTTGGTTTTTTATGTGTACGATTCTTAACTCGATTTTTTCCAGTTTAATTTACGCCCTTAGCTTTATTGCCTATTTTTGGGGATACCATGAATGGAGTTTGTACAACGTAGTAAAGTATGGTTTACAGGGCTTTACTTATTTGTGCCGGTGATACAAACTCCTAAAAAGAAAATAGCCAATCAGTGAATTCAAATTTTGATCGTTCCGGATCAGCCCGACATGAATTCCGAATGCGTGTAAAAGAAGAAAAAACGAAAAAAAACTCAAAAACTAGTGTTTAAACCAGCTAATTAAAAATGTCGGAAACGAAATTTTACGCACTTTATTTATTTATAAAATTAAATTTCCGTTTTTGGATTGTATTGCCGGCACAAATAAGTAAATCCTGGTTTACAATGACACGGGCGAAATGGCGAGTCAGTCGCTTCTCAAATGGGTATGTCGTAGAATTTGCCATTAGTAATCGTTTTTAGCTTTTTAAGGGAACGGGTTTTTTCCCAGGAAAGGTAATTTCTGGTTTTTCTGCTAACCCGACTTTGTCTGGTTTTTTCATCCCATTCTACCCAACCCTAATGGGACTATTGAAGCAATAACGATGGCTAGGCGGGATAGCAGTCAGGGTTTTTTGGTTTTGGGATAAGAATTGGCCTGTCGAGACGACAGTCATAACCGAGTTTTGTAGTCAATGACCTGTCGAGACGGCAGTCATTAAGTTTTTTTTTTGCTTTACTTTGAAGTAATGACACCAATTTACTTGGTAAGCGGCAGGGTTTTTCCAGAAAATTCTGGTTTTTTTCGCCCTGCTCTCCAAAGATGTATCTTAGTAACACTTGTAGCAATAGTAATGCAAGTCGCTTCATTCGATACTCTCGAATTCTGTACTGTTAGTAGCATAGCACGAAAGCGGAAGGGACAGATAACCCATAATTGATTTTTTTCGTTTGATTTTCATTTGTAGCCCCCAATGAGAGACAAAAAGTCAGGCTTAATCGAGGAGGCGTGTTATATTTGGTAAGTGTATAGTTATGATTGTAGGTATGGTTTTTATTATATACTGTAAGGACGGATTTAGATAGAATTTATATAGAATTAATAAACGAATAGTAAAGTAAATACGACTGCAAAGCACAAA